GTGTGTGTGTGTGTGTGTGTGTGTGTGTGTGTGTGCGTGCATGTGCGAGCCAGAGCTCAGCGTTTCTGGGGGAGGAGAAGGATGCAGGAGAACGTGGGAATGTGGCTTTCTATTCTGTGTGGCACGTTCCCTGGATGAGTTTTCCCCGGCAGAAAGAGACACACGCAGACAGAGAGGTGGGAAGAGAAGAATCCGTGCAAATAAATCATAAATAATCCCACTTTATTGCTGCCTGATTTTCCCTTATCGGAAACCATTCATGTTTGCAGTTCCTGAGGTTATTGAGGGTCGTAAAAAACGGATTCGATCTAAACAAGAAAGATAAAAAACAAAAGCAATACTGCAGAACCCGCAAGTAGGAGAGGATTCCCAGCCCCTGGAGATAAATTTCATAGCTATGCAAAACACATGAACCCTGGAAATTTAAAAGAGTGCCTTTAAAATATCAAATTAAGTGTAGGCGGTGGTAACATGCATGTTAACAATTTCTCTTATGATAGATGGTTCAAATTAACTTCCAGGAAAGTGTATTAATACTGCCTTTGAAGGGCTCTGGTCTGAGCCTCAGAGAACACTACCCGCCTTTTATTATTGTAACCTGCGAGAGGGAAACATATAAACACCCGTTCAGCAGGTAATGGGGGGAAATATAAACAAAGCCAGAAAGGTGGGGAACAGAGCCGCTCAGACGGGGTCTTGGGCCTTGCACACTGTGAGCAGGGTGAGCTGCAGTTTTACCACCGTTATTGGCACTATTGTTTTTAATTCCTGCATTCGGAGAACAAATAAACCATTCTAATAAATCTATCCTAGAGCCAGGCCCTCCAAAGGCCAAATTAAAACCATTCTTGAGCAGAGATGGCAAAAGCTCTTTCCCAAGGCCTTGTAGAACAGTAAGCAGTGGGATAATCTATCAATATTTCTTGGCTTTCATGCGTGAAGAATCGTATTTACATTGTATTAAAATGACTCTTAAATTTGCACAATATTGTAATGTAGCAAATGTAGTATTAATATCGATCTGAACAGCAGATAATTTATTTAGACAAGAGCATCTCATTTGTATGCAGGGTGGCCAGAGCCATGGACTTGGACTGCCCCCTTTTACTTTCACTGCAAATGCAGGTCCGCTGGTGAGAGAGGGAGTTATTCTTTGCAAGAGGATAAACTGCGAACCTTAAAACAAATGGAAGATTTATTGAATTGCCTCCTCGGTGTTTGAATGCATTTTATCTTAATAAGTCTTCTTGATGGAAACGTGTTTTTCAAAAGTGACAAAGAGCCTGGGAAGCAACGACCAGGCTGCTTCAGCTCTGGCAGGCCTGGGGCCTGGCTGGCTCTCCAACACCCGGCTCTTAAGCCAAATTCATCAGGAAGCGAGCCAGTGTCAGGGAAGCTGGGGTTTTAAAATCTCATCCAGCGAGGTGTCTGGAAGCAGAAATGTGACTTGGAGCCGGACAGAGGTCTTCTCCAGAAAGGTCTCCCCTCCCTTTTCCTAGTCCTCCCCAAGGTTCTTTGAACCCCCTTGACTTTGCTGATCTCATGCCCTTTCCCAGAGAGAGGCGAGGACTGTGCAGGCTGCAGGGAACATTGTGGAATTATTCATGCTTTTCTTTTAACTTTCATCCTAAAACATTCCTGTGAGAAGTGTTCCTTTAAAAAAAAAAAAAGAAAAGAAAAGAAACAAGAAGTTTTCCAAAGAAGTTTCTTGAACCAAGTCTTCAAGGTGAAAGAGGTCCCTAGAAGTGAACAATAACATTATTTTGTTGGAAAATTGCAAGCAGAATATCTGAAAATGGAAATAGAGCTGTCAGTAGCAATTCAGACCCCCTCCTCCATACAACACATTTCCACTTTTGACTAAACTTGTTTTGATTGCCAGCCAGAAGGGAATTCATGGGAAGCCTTCTCAAAGTCATCCAACTTTTAAGCAAACTTTGAATGATGGAAAAGACAGTTTTAGACATATTGTCCAACGTGGTTTGCTCTGGCTAAGTATTTGAAGCTGGCATGGGGGTCCCCTGTGGTGGTTTTCACATTTGGCCTCCGGATGGTATGTTTAATCCTTAATATTCTGGACAGCGTCCAAGGACTAGGTCGTGACCTGAACTTACTTTAAAAAAATACATTAATTCATACACCTAAATATTCCTTCAAATAAATGAGACCATCTTTGAAAGGACCAATCTAGTTAACATAAATACAATAAATCCATTTTCAGCACAATAATAACTTTGATTTCTAGTTATGGCAGCTGATTACATCTATATTTCCTGAACACTAAACTCTTCTGAATGCACAACATGAAATACATTCTCTGCACTACAAAGGCTAAGCCGGGAGGGCCTGAGCAGTAATGGTTATTTATTTACATAATTTCTTTTCCATACACTGTAGAAGAAATATTGAGGGTTCCCACATTGACACTCCCATATAAAAAGTGAGACATGGATTTTGCACATTCTTCCTCCTGTTCTTATCTGGACAATAACTCGTGGAGAGTAAATATGACCTGCAGTATAGCCCCTGCCAATCTAGCTTTGCCACCGTATCCCCCCAATTGCTATGAGAGCTCCCACAGTCTGTCCACAGTTGGAGAATCCTATTGCAAGAGGGCGAATGAATACTCTAGGTTCGAAGCCAGGCCAGAACTAGGGCTCCTGCCTTAGGAGTGCCACAGGGCAGGCTAGCTGGTTACCTGGCAAGTGAGCCCACCTATAGGCACTCTACCTTCTTTGAGAAAAGACACGTGTGTAGCCAGCACACGGCCTAAGCACACCTTTCCTGGGCTTCTCTCTCTTGGAGTGGCCCATTTGGTGGTTGGAAAATGACCTTGCACTCTAGGAACCCTAGGGGTAGACATCAGATAAATGTTTACTGACTTGAGGGGATACCATAGGGGTCTTTTTCAGGAATCTGCTGGGGTACCTATCACTGGGTCCTTTTTGTGTTGCATTGTGTGTCTCTGGGGGTGGTCTGTGACATCATGGACAGATAAGGCATGAAAAGCAAGATATATAAATACAAGTCTGCATTATGGCCGTTTGGTGGGGCCAGGTTAGCAGCGGCCTCAAGGGCAGACCTTAGTCTGCACAGACAAGCCCCAAAGAGCTCCTGCCTTGGCTCTGCTGCCATAAAAACTCACTGGCTTCCCAACTCAGGCAGTGTGAATGCATCCGAGCAGCGAGCTGCAGTAATTAAACATCTGAGAGGAACCCAGTCTGAATTTGAGGTCAAAGGGGACTTGCCTCAGAAGTTCTTGAGTTATCGCTAGTTTTATTTGTATTTTTGCTCTAGGCCATAGCCTTGTAGATGAAGGTGTTAGCATGCTTTGTAAATCCTAGTTCTTGAAATATAAGGACATAAAGCTTAGAAACTTAGCAGACACTGGTTTTGCTTTGAATCATTTGTTGTGTCTTCTTGAGGTCACACTTGCCCATTCACAATTATACCATGTCCTTTTGGGGGCACGACCATGCATGCATTTCTCCCCAGATCTATATATTAGCAAACTCTGTCTTTGATCTCTTGTCAACCTGCTGACTGGCTAAGGGCTCCTCTGTGATCTTCCTGTTTTCAAAATATTTATTATTAATACAAGAAACAACATGGGTATTTGAACTAGGAAGGAAGCCTTTCTTCTGTTCCTCTGATTCCATCATTCCCTCCGTCCGCTCGCCCCGGGTTAGTTGATATAGTATAATCATCTGCCTTAAAATATTTTTAGACAACCAAGAAGGGCCTTGGTTAGTGTGAAACAAGCACAGATTTTGAGATGCCATCATTGTGTGGAGCTGCTTTTTTCTCCCTTGGTCCCCCACACCCCTAGATCCTCCTTCACTCCCCACTCTCTGAGCAGCAGCAGCTACCCCCAACCCAGCTTTGTGTCTGATCCCTGAAGATGCCTCCTTTCTGAAGCCTGGAGTAACTGAGCCATATTCCTCCTGATTAGTATACAGCTTACAGAGATGTGACCAATTTTCAATTACTTGATCTAAGGCACAGATAGAAGTGTACACTCTCACGGAGGATTTGCTGCAGAGTCCTTGCTTGCATAGATAGTGGATCTCAAATCCTGTATTGCTAAAGCATGGGTTTGATCTGATTCTAGGCGAATCCTTACCCCCACCTACATGTGTGCTCCCTACACAATCTCGGTTCTCCTTGAGCTTTCTGGCTGGGGTCATTTGGATTTCAGAGGAGATTCCAAGAAACCTTTAAGAACTGCCTCGAAGCTGTATATTTCTTCGGGGGTCCTGAACACCCTGAAATCAGGGGTAGAGGGGGCAAAAGTCCTCCCTTTAATGAGCACGGCCCGAAAGATGCTCCCCTGCAGGCGAGGGCAGGTTGCTATCCACAGCAAACATGGCTCCAGTATCGTACATTATTTACTCCAAAGGTGAAGCCAGAAAAACAAAGGGACTGGAGGGGTTGCAGCTTCTGCATCTGTGTGTGTATCTCTCTGCAGCTCCCAGGGGCCAGGTGGGGGCTTGATTTATTTTTATTTGTATGGGAGCTGGGGGGCAGGGAATGGTGAAAGAGTGGGGAAGATTTCTTTTCTTTCCCCGTCCTATTTCTTCTTTTTCCTTTTCTCCTTGAAATAAAAATTGATAGCATGTTGTTTGTGGCCTGGCTGCTCCCCGGTTTAACGGTGTCCCCTCTTCCCTGTCTCTCCCTCCTGTGGCTGCTCTGGCAGATGCCTGTGGCCTGTCGGATGCCGCCCACATCGAGAGCCTGCAGGAGAAATCCCAGTGTGCCCTGGAGGAGTACGTGAGGAGCCAGTATCCCAACCAGCCAAGCCGTTTTGGCAAACTGCTGCTGCGGTTGCCCTCCCTGCGCACCGTGTCCTCTTCAGTCATCGAGCAGCTCTTCTTCGTCCGTTTGGTAGGTAAAACCCCCATCGAAACTCTCATCCGAGATATGTTACTGTCTGGAAGCAGCTTCAACTGGCCTTACATGTCCATCCAGTGCTCCTAGACCTCAGCAGGTTCTGCCTGCCCCTGCCCCTGCCCATCTCCCGTAGAGACTAAGAGACCATGAGGGCCGAGGACTCCAAAGCCTTGGGGGTGTGGGTGCTGAGGGCTGGGCAGGCCAGGGGAGGGGGCCGGGGACAGGAGCAGCCCACCCTGCAGCAGTGCACCACGAGCTGCACACCAGGAGGAAAAGACTATCGTAGGGTCAGATCTGTGAGCACGTTGGAAAGGAAAGAAAAAGGATCTTGTGTCTAGTGAGAAAATGAAAAAAAAAAATTTGGAAGAGAGGACCATTGAGAATTTTAATAAAACAGAAGGACACTAATGGACCTTCCAGAATTTATTGTGGACGGCTGTGGATATATTCTGTACAGAAAACAGCACATATGGAATTGGACTGAACCCTATGTAGAAACACACACGCACACATACACACACACACACACACACACACACACACACACACACATCCCGGACATTGTTATTCATTTTGTAAAATACTAGTCTTTATTTTCATTTTTTGTAAAATTTAAACATCGTATGCGCATAAAAAAGGAAACAAGAATTAGGGGAAAATAACATTTTCCAAATAATTATAAAAATTGTCCTGTGTCTATGTATCTATATCTGTTTTGTATTTTTTTCTGGTTCCAAACCAGATTTCCTGTGATTCTATACTAATAATTTTTGATATAACCCTTTGCTTCTTATAATGAGTGCGATATATGTTGTCGAGGCTGTTCTTCAAGAATTAAAATTGAAGTGAAAATTTAAACAAAAATAAAAGAATTTAGCAAAACCCATGTGTCTTGTTGCTTGACTAATGTCCTTAGTGCAAAAGAAACCCCTGGTTAATTTCCACTTTAACTGTTGTTGGAATTGGAGTATTTTGGGGGTTGGGGAGAGACTTTTAAAGTCTAATACCAAGTTGCCAATGCTCATTTCCTACAACTAGCCACTGTCTTCGTTTTATAGGTGCAGAGGGCTGGGTCGGCCAGAGCAGGGCAGGGCAAGGCAGGGCACCTGCGTCGCAGACAGAAGCTGTGCTCGCAGCTGGGCAGGGTGCTTGGGCAGGCTGGGTCGCACGCAGGCTGAATCTCCAAGCATCAAGCCTGCTGCGGCTTTCAGTGACCTGGGACAGCACCCAGGCCTGACTGTAGTGGCAATGAGCTGAGCTGGAGAGATTTGGGGGTGGCGGCACGCAAGGCCAAGGCTGGGCACTGGGGGATTAGGAAGCAGAGGGCTGCCCTGCCCCTGAGTCGTAGGAGAGGGAGGTGAAGTTCCGGGAAGCGCTTGCCCCTGGCTCAGGGATGGAGTAGGGCCTCAGTGCTTTGAGTTCTGATTCTGCTGCTCCCTACCATCCCCCAGGATCTGGCTGTGATTTACCCTTCCCTGCAGATCCCTTTGCAGGGGTTCCCAGGAGGGCTCTGGCACCCTGATGGGCAGATGCAAGGCCCCCTCAGGGTCTGATGTGGCATTTAGTGCGATCCCAGGAGTGGGGGTCAGCAGCACTGGAGTGAGCCCTTCTTAGAAGACGCTTTGGGGCCTCGTGGCCTTTGCAGGGCAGAAACTTCCCCTTGAGGCCTCTGGTTGGGTGTGCGTGGGGGGCAGCTCTCTGTAACAGCTTTAGAGCATGAATGTTTTATAGGATCTGAGTCGGAACTGTGAGAACACATACTGCCAAGGGAGCTCTTTCTTAACGTATTAATAAAGCCAGATCTTTAAAAATAACACCTCTTACCCCTCCCCTCCCTCCAGCCCCAGACAGTCCCGGATGAGGCAAGAGCTTCACTCTCAGAAGTCACTGGCAGTGTTTTCCTTTCAATTTGCCAGCCTAGAAGTCTCTAGGTCCTCCCCCTCCAAAAAGTATTCACAAGCTTCTACACCCCATCCAACCCGCTTGAGGTTTTTGATATTCTGGATTCAGCACAGCATGGGCAGTGCCCAGCTCACTGTTGAGATGCCCCAGCAGACCCAGGGTCAGAAGCCAGGATGGCCGGTGGTGGCCTGAGAGAGAATGGCCAGACCCACAAGTTATGGACCCCCTACATTGCCCTCATTCTCTGCACCAGGTCAAGGGGGGGTTTTGGGCCAAGGTGACTTTCCTATATATATTGGACACCTAAGACTGGAGGGGATGCAGAGATCTGCTGGTTAACCTCTGGCCACCCGGAAGCTTATAGCAGGAAACCTTCCATCCCAGACACTGTGCTCTTCCTATATTGGGGTATGGTAGGCTGCAGCTCAGGAAGCTGGCTAGGGGGAGGGGAGCAGGCTTCCTCCCAGAGCTCACCGATCTTTCCTGCCTTTCTGGAAATGAGATGTAAATATATTCATTACAGTGTGATCCCTCTGATGAAAACAGATAAACATTTTCGTAGGTCGGAAACATACTTTTCAATTAATTTCAATATGGAGGCCCAAGTACAAGGCGTCCAGTGTAGAGACTGGCCTAAGAGCAAAGATTAGCAACCTAGGAGCGCTTGCTTCAGTGTTCAGAGGTGACAGGGAGCACTTGACTCTTGCTCTCAGGGCCCAGAGGGTTGCTCAGGGCCTGTGCAATCCAGACCACTTTTATGAGCTCTGCAGGGGCCAATCCACCCAGCAAAGGTGGAGGCAGGCCTTCCTATGGCCTCAGGGCCTTTCTGGGGGGCTCTTGAAGGAGCCCTGGGACTGAGAGAAATAGGAGCAAAAGTGGGTCCCTTTGGAGTCTGGGCAGTGGGTTTCTCTGTTATCTCAATGGCTGGGGTGCCCTCTCCCTGTGCCTACACTGCACACAGAGAGACGCTCATATATCCAAAATCAGAGATCTCTGTCTGTCTCACTGAGACGGAGCCTCTCAGGGACCCAGGCTCTGCAAGCCCAAAGGCTGTGCACTCAGGGCGCAGAAAAGCTTAGGGGGCTCCTCCTGCTAAGGGAAAGTTTAGGAACCAAGACTGCCGCATCTAAAAGAAGAGCTAAGCCTTGTAACAACTAGGAAGCCAGCTCTCTCCATGGACATCTGATAGCTCCCTCCACCTCCTACTGGCCTCACCACTGACTCTGCCTCCGGGGCTGAGGACAGCAGCTGAGGGTCCCCAGGAATGGAGGGCTCAGGAGTGGCCAGGCTGCCCTGACTGCACAGCCAGGGCTTTCTCCAGGTCTTGGTCACTGCTGTGCCCCTGGATCTGGACAGGAAGCAAGGTATAGCAGGTGGGGACCTCCTCTGTCTGGGTGTCAGCCAGGAAGTCCCTGTGCCCGCCTCCAAGCCAGGCCCCCGGGGGGGCGGGGGAAGCCGGGGAACTCAGGTGCGAGGCTGCAGGCCTGTGTAGGCCAGATGGTTGTTTGCCTTTGCCTGAGGCATGGAGCCCTGCCTAGCCTGGGCCTGGCCAGGCTGTCAGAGTCCCAAAGAGTCAGAGAGTAGCCCTGGGCTAAGGCTAGAACCGATAGGTTCCCAGGGCCAGAGAAAATATAGTTCACCAGTTGGAGAGCAGTTCACCTCAGGTGACTTCACACTCAAAGTTACCTATGACCTCGGACTTTCTGTGCTTTATTCTAGCCCGAACACTTGCTGGACAGCTGAGAACTTTAAGGGCTTTCAAGTGAGCTTCAACTACCTTAGCCACAGCTTTGCTGCAAATATCTGAAAGGCCATCTCGGGAGTCCTGTTTTCTGGGACAGTTAGGGAACAAGGCTGAGCCTTTCTGGCACCTGGGAGGAGAACTGTGATCGTTAGCCCATCCCCCTGTTCTGCTTACCCTGGGACCAGGTCGGATGGAAGGAAGCCCAGAGATGGGGATGCAGGTCCCATCCATCTACCGGGACCACTCGGGTATCCAGGTCTCTGCTCCTTGAGCTAGCCAGGTTTTAGCCTCTGGCAGCAGCAAAGGGACGACTCTGGAAGGCCCCACGGTCAAGAGAGCTAGGGATCTAGAGCCCAGTCATTCACAGCCCACCTGAGCTTGTCTCCTTGGAGCATGCAAAAAAAGTTTATTTTAAAAAATATTTTGTCCTCTTCCTGGACTTGTAGGCACACCTTGTACTCCTACAGCGGCTGAATTGTGTCCCACGATCTCCCCATTCCTTGGAACAAATCACCTGAACATCTCCACAAATAGACCAGGAGGAGCAGGGTGGGGAGGGAGTGGAGGGGAGCAAGTGGGAACTAATAAAACTCTTGTTAAAGGGCCTGCTTGGGATCCCTGGTGTCTCTGGGCCTTTTCCTTGGGAAGCCAAAGAGTTGTATTCCTAAATGAGTTAAAGACCCATTTACCTCTGTCGTGTTCTATTCATCAAGCCACAAGTTGAGAGTTCCTAACATGAAACTATTTGTTTGCTTACACAACCAGCTGGGCGCAATTTCACGTCTGAGATATCTATCTGAAAGCGCCTCTCATTTATTATCTCTCCTTGTCAGCGAATCCATTTTCCAGGCCCCCTCCCCCGCTTTGGAGTTTATTTATTTATTTATTTATTTATTATTTATTTGTGGGGGCCTTTTCTGCCTGGGAGGACCTGGGGCTGGGATACTCCCCAGGGAGCAGCAGCTCCTCGAGGTCGGGACTGTCGCGTCCAGCGCGCAAGCAAGGCCCCAGATGACCAGGGCTGGCCTGCCAGCCTGGGCATTGGGGTGGGCCTGGCCGGACGCTGCAGAGCTGCCTTTCTCGGATGTCTTCCATGATAGCTCCCCCGTGTCAGCTCTAACCACCTGTGCGAGGAAGGGGCGATGGGGGTGGGGGGTGGGGGCGGGAGGCGAACCCAGGAACCTTTCTCCAAGAGGGGGGCTCGAGATTTGGATTGGAGAGATGCTTTCACAAAGCCTCACCTAGTCCCATGGGGCCAATTTCTCCTCCCCGGCCGGAGCGCAGAGTGAGTAGCCAAGATGTAAATAGTTACGTGATGGGTTGGGGGAGGGGGCAGTGCATTTATTGTGTGTGCGGAGGGGAGAAGGCTGCACGTGGTTTCAATTTTGAAGCACAAAGAAATAACATGCAATGCAGAAAATAGGTTTATGAATGTAATTGAGAGGAAAGAAAACAATTAACACGGTGCAGGGTTGCACACTTGATTCCCCACCCCTCGCTTTCCCTTCTTCCCAATTTTGAAAAATCCAGATCTTGTGAATAGAGTGGGTCTAGGCAGTTAGATCCCGCTGACAAGGGAACCCCTGATGGGAATCTCAGTGATAGCTCGATAATGGTGTCTATCCATCTCCTGGGCTGCTAGGGCCTCCATGCTGAAAGCGAGGGATCAAACCCCAAAGTCCAGCTTATAAAATACCCTCAGTCGTCAGGAAGCAAGCAGAAGAGTGCGGGGTGGCCAAGGGAGAAACACAGAGAGAGACAGCGAGGGATTTCTTTAAGAAGACCAGGCTGGTCCCTGCAAGCTATCCTATTGTGTTGATTTAGGAAGACATTTGCTGTATATAACGTTTAAGGCTGATAATATCATTGCGCAGCCAGATAAATAAAGCGTTGGCCCAACGGTGGGGTCAGCGATCGATCTTGGG